GGGGCCGGGAAGGGGGAGGTGGGCGGGACCTGGACAGGGAGGTGGTCCGGGGAGGGCAGAGTCCGGACAGGAAGGTGGGCAGGGACATGGAGGTAGGCGGGGCCGGGGAGGGAAGGGATGGGTCGGGCCAGGACCGGGAGGGTAGTTCCGGGAGGAGGTCCGGACGGGTCTTGTGCCAGAAGGAGTGGGAGGAGTTCCAGGGCGAGGGAAGCGCGCCCCTGCTGGGCCTGGAGGACGAGTGGCCAGCCGCCACAGGTTTCCTGCGCCTTCACCGGGAGAAGACTCCGGGGAACAGTTCACGTTTTACAGCCGGCAACGTGAAGGCAAAACTGAACGACTGTAGCCCGGCGCGGCCCACACCACATCCCAGACTCGGGAGGCTGAGGCAGGAGGATCGCAAGTTGGAGGCCAGCCTGGGCAACTTAAGGAGACTCTGTCTCCATGTAAAAACTGGAAAAGGGTGGGCTGTAGCCGCGTGGTACAGTGCCCAGGGGTTCAAACCCCAATACTAGAAAAAAATAATAATAAAGTCGGCCACGCTACCATGTAATTTTTTAAAAATATTTTTATTTTATTTTTTAGGTGTAGATGGACACAACACAACGCCTTTATTTTTATGTGGTGCTGAGGATCGAACCCGGGTCCCGCCCGTGCTGGGCGAGCTCTCTATCCCAGCCCTACCTAATATGTAAGTTTTTGTTTTGGGGGGTTTTTTTTGTTTTTTTTTAAGAGAGAGTGAGAGAGAGAGAGGGAGACAGAGGGAGAGAGAGAATTTTAATATTTATTTTTTAGTTCTCGGCGGACACAACATCTTCATTTGTATGTGGTGCTGAGGATCGAACCAGGGCCGCACGCATGCCAGGCGAGCGCGCTACCGCTTGAGCCACATCCGCAGCCCAACATGTAAGTTTTTAAAAGCACCATCTTTTTCTTTTCATGTCATCTTTCCCATAAAATGTGCTGTGTCCTGGAATAAAACCAGGCTGCCCCTCCTAGTCCTGAGTTCCCTGTGAACGCAGACAGCCCCCCTCCCTAGGGTGGTTCAGCTGGGATTCTGTGACTTCATGGTGGAAAGCCACTTGCACTCAGCGGAAACCACACTTGGAGTTCTGGATTCTGGCCTCTGCCCAGGCTCGAAGCAGGTAAAGGGACACTCCAGCCGTGCTGAGGGAGCCGGCAGCCAGGCAGTCAGACAGTCAGACAGTCGACACTGCAGCTGAAGGGACCTTTCACAGTGTGTCTTAGCTGTGCACCACAGTGGGCAGCGATCATGCGGCCACTCTGCCCTCCACTGCCAATATCTGTTGAGTCAATGACATGGGATGTTCAACACCTGAGGACAGACTGCTGGGTCTGGTGTGAGCCTGGGGGACAGGCCCCACTAGGCGGCCACTTGCAGTAGGTTTGGTGTGCTAAAGCTGATATTTTCACTTTATGAGGGGTTTATCAGGAAGTAATCCCATCAAAGCTTGAGCATCTGTGTAGCTGATAAAAAAGAAAAAAGGAATCTAACCTTTTGATGAGCCTGGATTTATCTTTTCAGAGCAATCAGCTAAAAAAAGATCACATTCTCAGCTGTTCCCTCAGCCTAGCAAATCAAGCAACTGGAACCCCGAGATTTTGAACCAGACTGTGCTAGTTTACATCTCCAAAGCAGACTGACTCCAGGGCTTCAGGAAGATTGCACAGGAAGCACACATCCACTTCACTTCTGTTCCCTTCCTCTAATGACTGCAAATACTAAGCCCACATCCTCATTTCCTCTGCACTCCACCTGACGGATTTCCGCTGGCCCTTCAGGCTGGGGATGTGCTCCGAGTACTGCATAAGCCTGGCGTACACCTGTGAGGTCCTGGGTTTGATTCCCGGCAGCTTGGACATGACTACCATTTCCCTGTGTGCTTCAGGAGTGGTTTCTAATGACCTGTCCTCTCTCACTGCCGCCTGACCCACTCCATGGACACTGCGTGTGGCCACATCTCAGCAGCAGTGCTTCACAGCTGCCCGCTCCCTCAGACACCTTCTGGTTCTCCTTCAAGTCACTGCTCCCTCCCTCCCTCTCTCTCTCTTCTGGCTCCTGCTCCTCTGGATGGTCCCAAAGGTCTCTCCCTGTCCGTTCTCACCAACCCAGTGGCCTCACATAGTCCACCCCATGCTGCCGACTCCCCTGTCCACATCTCCAGTCTGAACCCCTTTCCAGAGCCTCAGGTTTGAGTATCCACAAGTCTCCAACCTAACCTGGCTGAAACAGATCGGAGACCCTTCCCCTGCTCTCTCCTGTATCAGGGAGCAGCAGTGGCTTCTTCCAAAGCTGGGTATTGTGCTCTTTCTCCCTCACACTCCACATCCAGTCCACCCTAACTGCAAATCCTCTCACTTGACCCTCAAAACACCATACCCCCGTCCACTGGCCTCCATCCCACTCTTTCCACCACCTCTTGGCTGGTGGAACTGACCACTGAAGAAGCCTCCTGTGACTGCTTTTGCCCCAGTGCAACCATTCCTTGCAAAGCAGCCAGTGACCTTCTAAAAGCCATGTCATGCCAATCCCCACGTTAACCCTGCTTTTTGAACTCCAGACCCTGGCCACCCCCAACCCTGCCACCTCCCCTCCTGCGCTCGGCTCTCCAGACCTCTGGCCTTTTAGCATGTGGATCTCCTGCTCCTCCTGCCTCAGGTCCTTGCCCAGGCAGGTTTCCCGAGATGCTCCTCCTGACTCAAGTGCTTTCCCCTACAGACACCCAGTTGCAGAGAAGCTGCCCTGGCCATTCCTACACGCCGGCCGCGGCCCCTCCCCTTAGGCACGTGCATGCTCCTTGTTAGGTTCCGTGAGGACATTTGAATCAATATCTGCCTACGCCTGTCAACCTCATGTCTATGGTACGATTCCTGTGTGGTGTCACGGCTGTGCATACCTTCGGGTCACTTGTTCAGCGCCTGGCACACAGTACCCCAAGAAAAACTCGTGAACACTGCCCTCCCGAGTTTTCACACCATCACTGTAATGGCCTCCTGCCCCACATCAGCGCTTCTAGTGACACAGCACAAGCTGGGTGTGAGAATTTTCTGCACAGTGGTGCCCTCAGGACCACTCTGGGCAGCTGGGAGTACCTGTCACCCACAGTTGAAAGGTGAGATACCTGAGGCACAGGAACTCACCTAACTTCAGGTCACATGGCCAGGAAGTGACAAGGCTGGGGTTTGAACTCAGGGAATCTTGCCCAACAGTCTCTATAGTAGCTGCTAAAATGCGGTGCCAGCATAGTGGTCCTGAACCTGGGGGAGCACTTAACACCCGCCCAGGTGCAGCCGCCCAGCAGCCTGCATCTGCCCTGCACAAAATAACCCCACAAGAGACACAAATACCTTTTTCTTTGGGGTTGCTGTGACGGCTCCTCTAACCTTAAGGGTCCGCAGAGCACTTGCTGACCCCTTTTATTGAGGAGAAGCTATTCAAATGAGGCAAGGGGTCAGGTTTCAGGGGCTGAGTCTATCTTCATGATGTCCACTGTCAGCAGGTTGACTGACACCTGGGTAGGCCACACCCAAGGGCACAGTAAGAGGAGGGGATACAAGGCACTTCCATGGAAGATTCTATCCTAAATGGGACAAGGGGTTATATTACAAAGGAACAGGTGAGCATAGCTTCACCCATGGGGCTGTAGTAAGACACACCCATTTCTGTGACTGTGCGCTTCAGCACCCAGCTGGGGAGTGTAACTCAGTCACCTGTAAGGTTGGCCTCCCACATGCTTTGGAAAAGCAAGATAGGCAGGGTGCAGAGGGACTGGCGGGGAAACAGGTGCTGTGTCCGCTGCCCCCAGCACTCCAGCAGGACAACTGAGGGAAACGGCACTCGCTGCTTTCCTGTGGACACCACTGCCTGTGCATTCTGCCTTTGGAGAATTTTTGACATGTTTCTTCCAGAAAAACAGCCACCAACAGCCCAGAAATGTTTCACAACCAGGTTTCATTACCACCATGAGACTGGGGAAGAACCTGTTGAGGTGTTCTGAAAGATGGCCTCCTCTGCTGCAGAGGTGGCCAGGAGCAGACCACAGGCAGAACAGCGCCCTGGAAGACCAGGTGACCCAAGCCACTGAAACCAGGGACACGGACACCGCCGTTAGGCTTTGCAGGCCAACAGGAGAAACTGAAGGTAGTTTACAGGGATATATTTAACAGCCATTTCTAGGATTCGCTGGCCCCTGCTGTGTGCTAATAACTTTGCTTTTGTCTGCTCTCCCAGCGTACTTGACCTCTCTCTCCTGGCCTGCGGGAAGAGCAGATTTTGCCCGGCTTGCAGGCTGTTGACCTCACCCAGATTCCCAGATGTAACAGGACTGAGGCCCCCTGGGTGAGAGACAAGGCACAGTCAACTGTTCAAGAGCAGAAGCAGTAGGCAGACTGCTGGCGCTGGGGATCTCTGAGGGAGCTGCGAGGTACTCTGAGACCACAGGTCTCACGACTGGGCAGGAAGTCAGGAACCTGGGAGGCAGATGTTCACATCAAAACCAAACTCTTCAGCCTGGTGCCTCAGAGGCTCTGGTGGAGAGAGGACACAGTGAGCAGAACTGCTCTCAGCCCTCATCTTGATTCAGGTCCTCTCCCCCAGGGCCATTCCTGCTAAGACCCAGCCAGAGCAAGGCCAGGCAGAGTCTGGGGAAAAGCCCTCTGGGCTAGTGACTTCCAGCTGGAACAGCCTGAGGGCTTTGTGGGAAACACACACAGAGCAGGGGAGAAAGGCCAACAGATAACACACAGGCACACCTGGGCACTACTCAAGAGGCCTGGCCACACAGCCAAAAAAAAAAAACACTTGCTGTGAAACACAAGGGCCTGTCTATCAATAAACCTGGGGTCAACAGCACGACTGCGTAAGAAAACCAGCTAGGCAGTCCCAGATCTCACCCAGCCAAGAAACCTGGGAAGTCCCCTAGGAGACCCATGACCTCGGCAGACTTTCCATGTGTCCCTGTGCTGAGACACACCTAATACCACATATGAAGGAACAGCCTTGGAATACTACTCAGCCAGGTTATCCAACTTGGTAACTGTTGAAGAAGCTGGGAGATGGTTTCATGGATGTTCAAACTACTCTTTTTGTGTACTTTTGAAATTTCCAATGAAGATTTTTAAAGTCGTGTTATCTATGAATGAAGAAATGAGCCAGCTGTGCACGTAAATTTTCTTCACTGAAAAAAGGGAGACTGGGACTGGGGATGTAGCTCAGTGGTAGAGTGCTTGACTCACACACCCAAGATCCTTGGTTCAATCCCCCGACACAAAGGAGCCCGGGTCTGGATTTCTCAAGGAGGAAGCCAGTCAGCTGCCTGGAGGCCACTCAGCAAAGTCTCACTGGTGCTATTAAAGGAAAGCAGTCTCTGGTCCTGGAGAGGTAGTGGAGGTAGAGGGGAGGCAGAGGCAGAAAAACTCATTTGTATTGGTTTTTGTGTTTTTGGTTTTGGTCCTAGGGATTGAATCCAGGTGTACTTTACCACTGAGTCACGGCCCTTTTTATTTTTTGAGACAGGGTCTAAGTTGCTGAGGCTGGTCTTGAACACAACATCCTCCTGCCTTAGACTCTCCCGTCTACAGGCGTAGCCACTGTGCCAGGCAAATCCTGAGTTATTTGTCAGTGAATTATTCCAAGCGTCCAGGCTCCCACGATGAAAATCAAACCCAAAAGTTATTCCAGTGTGGGCCACCAGCCTCATTCATGGTCATATTGTCCCCAAAGACTCTTAAGACATTTCCCAAAAACATGAGTCTCTGGGGCTCAGAATGTGGCTCAAGCGGTAGCGTGCTTGCCTGGCATGCCTGCGGCCCAGGTTCAATCCTTGGCACCAGATACAAATAAAGATGTTGTGTCTACCAAAAACTTTAAAAAATAAATAAATAAATATTTTAAAAATTCTCTCTCTCTCTCTCTCTTAAAAAAAAAAACAAAACAAAACATGAGTCTCCCTTCCCTTCTTCTAAGGCTTCTACAGGTCATGGGGCCACACCCTGTAAACCTCACCTCACCCTATTGCCTCCCAAAGGCCCACCTCCCAACCATCAGCATGTGCTTCTGAGAACTAAGCTCCCCACACACGAACTGGGGACCATCCAAACCACAGCAGCTTATAGTGAGAAAACTGTTTAATAGCAACAATATTTTTCTTCTAATTCCAAAAACATTCTCCAGAACTTTATCTGATGAGCTGGGCATGGTGGCTGAGCTTCTACCCAGCCCATAAATCCTGCCTTATATTTGTATGGGCACAGGTGTTGCAGTATCAATCTGCAGAACAGGGCTGGCGGATCAGGGAAACCCATTTATCATACTGGCAGGCAGTCCCGCTGGTGTCCAGGGGCATGCCATCTGCCTTCAGCATCAGCAGCATTTCCCAACAGCCTCGGCAACCCTGGAGCCTGCTGAGGGAGAAATTGCATCTGCTGCTCAGCTGTACTCTCCGGAGTAAAGATGGACACACATCCACTCCAGGGGCTGTATGTACTTCTTGGGAACAACCTGGGTGATCCGTTCCTCTGATTCACCAGTTGTTTTCTCGTACACATTAGGGATATTAGTCCTTTGTGATGAGTTATAAATTCTTTCCATAGTTTGCTTTTGCTTGTTACTTTCAAAATCTTTGCTTTATGAAGTTTTTTATTTATATGCAGTCTTTTTCTTTTATGATCATATGTCCTAAGTAAAAAGACCTTTGCTTACCCCATTGGTGAGTTACTGCTCCTAAAACAGAATAATCCCGTATGTCTATGGGTTGACAGAATGGAGCTCTGACTATCTGCGTAGTGGAGGCAGTGCCCTAGTCCTGCTCCCCACCTTGCTGGCCACATTTGAACTGTGTTCTCATGAACACAATCAGCAAAATCCAGACTACAGAAACAACAGATGGCCCAGGTCCAGAAGATAATATGTAGGGAAACAGTGGGATGGAGCAAGGACTGCAAATTAAAAGCCCTAAGAAATATTAAGTTAAAAAAAGGAAAAAGTTGGCAAGATAAACTGCCATCGAGAAATGCCTGAAGTCATTTCCACAAAGTCAGGATTACTTGTAAAGAGAGGGAAGGAGGAGAAAGGAGAGGTCCCAGGGGAGTACTCTGGAGTGTCCAGCAAAGCACTATTCCTTACAGGGTGGTGGATGCAAGGACATTCATCTTATAATAGTAATTCAATACGCATTAATTTCTTTTGTGTCATTTTCTGTATTTTTATTTTATGAAAAAAAAACTCAAAAATAAATGATCATGTCAAACATTTGTTTTAAACCTGCACAGTATTTTTAAGAAAAAAAGCCAAAGAAACTTTTCAAAGATATATGCATCTTGGTCTTTAAAAGCTGTAACTGAGCCGGGCTCAGTGATGCACACACACCTGTAATCCTGGCAATTCAGGAAGATGAGGCAGGAGGATCTCGAGTTCAAAGCCAGGATCAGCAGATTAGCCAGGCACTTAGAAACTCAGTGAGACTCTGTCTCTAAATAAAATATAAAAAAGGGCTGGGGATGCAGCTCTGTGGTTAAGTTGCCCTGGATTCAATCCCTGGTACCAAAAATAAAGCTGTAACTGAGCCAGGAGTGGTGACACACACCTATAATCCCAGCACTCAGCAGGCTGAGCGAAGAGGATCACAAATTTAAGGTCAACTTCAGCCACTCACCAAGACCTCTCAAAATGAATAAATAAAAAGGGCTGGGGGAACATCTAAGTGGTAGAGCACCCCTGGGGTCAATCCCCAGTGCCCAACACACACACACACAATCACAAAATTGTAACTGCTGAGCATGTGTAAGGTCCTGGGTTCGATCCCAGCCCTGCACACACACATTTGAAAGACTGAGGCCATTCTTCCACAGCCACGGTCTCCTGTGTACACAGCATCAGGCACCTGAGGGGCGTCCTGTGAGCCACATGCCCAGTGAGTGGCTACAAGGGCAGGTGACTCCACCTTGAAAATCAGAAGGTCAGCGAACTCTTCCACAATTCTTCCTGAGTTCCTGTCTGCATCTTTTAACCAATGTTTTATTGATTTCTTATAAAAATCAACGCCCAAGCACTTTGGGCCAAACTGCAATAAAACATGAAAATACACTAAGCCCAGTAAGCAGCAGATCTCAGAATCATCAGATCTCAAAAGACGTCCACTTCCTCCTGGAGCGCTTTTTTACTGAGATGCTCACAGGACACAGTGCCCCCTGGCTCAGCTTTGTCTCCTGCAGCCACTCCTGCTGAGAGGTCTTGATGCCCACACCAGGAAATGACAGCAACAAGAGCTATCGCTTGCCTTCTCCAGAGCACCCAAGTGACTCCACTCAGTCTTGAGACTGCCGAGCCCCTTCTCTCGCCAGCCTATCGGCCTCTTCATTGCCCACAAATCCCGAATGACCAGGAACATGCATCTGTTAAAATAAAGGTTTTCCTTTTTACTTCTCCTGATTTTTATACAAGCAACATGACTACACTCCACTGAGAAACGCAAGCACACAGAACAGACTGGGCGAGCCAAAGCTCACTCAGAGCCTCTTGCCCAACATAACTGGAGAGCACAACATATATTCCAGATGCTTCACACAATGACGTGTTCACAAAAGTTCCATTTCATTTCTCTACAAATTTGATTTTACCATTAATGGTGCTTTTTTTTCTCACTTGGCAATGGTATATGGCAAACTGTGCAGATGGATGGATATCTGTGTTTGCTCCCGCACACACACTCTTTACTCTTTTTAGGAGAATGGATTACTTATTTGATTTAACCATTGTTCACATTTCCATTGCTAAAGCAAATTTACATGTTGGTTACAAAATGTTACCAATGGTTTTATGGAGGCAGAACAAGGCAGAGTTGAGACAATGGTTAAAAGTTTAACTTGCTTTGTATTGTGTGGAGAAAACATTTCATTAAAATTATCTATTACATGTCTGTAATCCCAGCAACTAGGAAGGTTGAGGCAGGAAGATCATAAGTTCAAGACGAACCTCAGCAACTTAGTGAAACTGTCTCAAAATAAAAAAACAAAAAGAGCTGTGACTGGCTGGGGCGGGGGCTCTGTAGTAGAGTGCTTGCCTAGCATATGCGAGGCAATGGGTTCGATTCTCAGCACTACATATAAATAAATGAATAAAACAAAAATCCATTAACATCTAAAAAAAATTTAAAAAAAAAAAAAAAAAAAAAAAAAAAGCTATGCTATAACTCAGTGGTAAAGTGCCCCTGGTTTCAATCCATAGTACCACCCCCCACCAAAAAAAAAAAAAAAAAACTATAGACCAGGTTCCTAAGGCCTTAACAAGCAATATTTTTTAAAAATATTTATTTTTTTAGTTGTAGTTGGACAAAATACCTTTATTTACTTATTTTTATGTGGTGCTAAGGATCAAATCCAGGGCCTCACACATGCTAGGTAAGCGCTCTACCGCTGAGCCACAGCTCCAGCCCTTGAGCAATATTTTTTACTGTTGCACTTCCTACACCTAGTAACATTGTTCACTGCAAAGACAGACAGAATCAAAGGCACTCATTACACCTCATGATAGGACCCTCGTGGGAATTGTTAACCTGCACCACTCGATCCCTTAAGTAAACCACTGCTCTCGAGCCAACAGGGACCACATGGTCACAACAGTCACAAGATGTGAACATTCTAATAGGCACTCACCCACTGAATGTCCATGCCATGGGTGAGCTCCTCCAGCTGCATGAAGTCCTCCTTGTTGATCACCTCCTTCCCCGTACACGTCTTCCACCCATTCTTCTTCCAGCCTTGGACCCAGTTAGTGATCCCTAGGGGAAGGTATGCTCACTGGGCCTCCACCTGCACTGTCCTGCCTCCGGGGCCTCTTGTGCTCTGACCCATCATCCTGGACTCCTCCCCTCCTCAGTTGGCCCCAGCTGCTTTGGCCTGAAGCACATGCCAGAAACACCCATCTCCCCCATTCCTCTAACTGCATTCACCTGAAGCTCTCAGCTTAGGACGTCCTTCTCCAGGAAGTTTCCCACGGGCATTCTCCAAGAAGCAGCCAGCACACCTTGATCCTAAGTTACTTACACACATCTAGACTCCAACTGCAAGGACAGCAGAGCCACATCTACTTCATGACAGAACTTGGGCTTCAAAACCTCCCTCTTTTCCTTGTGACAAACCAATGTTATCCCTGTTATTAATTTTAGCCTATTATAATACCTCCCACCAGGGAAAGAAAAGCCTAGTTCCCCTCAGAGAGACTGGAAAATTACTGGAAGAAATAAACATGAAGGCTTACCATTTATAGTGAACATACTGTCCGTATACAGAACCAATTTACTGATGTTCTGAGCCTTGGCTTGTTCGATGGCTTTGCAGGCTGCCTTGAAAAAACAAGCCACAGTCATCCTCCACAGAGAACTGGCAACACAGCTCATACTCAAAGTGATTCACACTTGGACATACAAGGGTCACCTCTGGGTCACACATGTTCAAAAGGGTCTATGACACAAGGGTTCCTTCTTCTTATGTACTTTGATTATATTCTTTACGTGAAATAGTGCTAAACATATAATTCTGTTGACACCGACTTGAAATGACATTTTAGAGTGTTTCTCCAGAATTGCTACTAACCCAAAGTTTCTTCTGGACATTGAATATCTTATCTACATGGATAATAGCAATAAGTGATATGCTCATAGTCTTGCTGAGGGATGACAGACTCACATGTATCAGGTAACTTTACATGAGTTTCATGCTCAAGGTCAATATTGAGAAATGACAAACTCACATTTATCTGATAACTTACATGGATTTCTGCTCTTTGGTTTGTCTGTCGTCCGGGGAGTCTAATGCCTATGTTTCTGTTTCAAAACAGAATTTTTAAAAATACACTTATAATGCTGATTCTCAAAAGTGATTCCCTCCAATGAATAATAAGCTAGTGTGTTAAAAAAAAAAAAAAGATATAAAAGCTTCATATAAAAACACAGCCTTTAAAAAAATCAAACCAACATGGGGCTGGGGTTATGGCTCAGCAGTAGAGCACTCGCCTCACATGTACGAGACCCTCGGTTCGATCCTCAGCACCACATAAAAATAAATAAATAAATAAGTGTATTGTGTTCAACTACAATTAAAGAAATATTAAGAAAAAAATCAAACCAACAATACTAACACTTTGTTGAAAGACACTATTGTATGGCATAGAAGAAACACTGGACCAGAAGTCAAGGACAAAGTGTTAGACAAAGTCAAGGACAAAGACACCATGCTAATGCCTTTCTGGACTGAAAGGCATTAGCATGGTGTCTAGGGCCAGCACGACGTCCCCAGAACCTAGTGCCACACCAGCTTCCACTCTCCACCACAAGGGTTTGAAGCTAAGCAAAAGGTTAAAGTGAAAGAACTTTGTAAACTGTACAGTTAGAAAGAAATGGAAAGTGGTATCATTAAAAATGCCTAACAACCAACTTTTTTTTTTCCTTGAGCTACTGGGGATCAAACCCAGGGGCACTTTACCTCTGAGCTACGTTCTCAGTCCTGACTATTTTTAATTTTGAGACAGAGTCTCACTAGGTTGCTGGCCTTGTACTTGCCACCCTCCTACCTCAGCCTCCTGAGGTGCTGGGATTGCAGGTGTGCACCACTGCATCTGGCCACCTAAACATGGCTCTTGTGGGTACCTGTAAATACTGGAAAACAAAGTTGAGCGCTGGCGCGGGCGGCTTTAGAAAAACCAAGTCCCTCTTTCCTCTGAACTTCAGGGCTCAGCTTCCATTCCAGTTCCTTCACATCCACAGGCGAGATAGGTCTGAACAAGAGCATTTCACCTTGCCTTCTGACATACCAGGGTCACCACTGGGTCACACAGCTTCAAAAGGGTCTAGTGATACACGGTTCCAAGCCCAGCAGCCATTCCCTGGGCAGCCCTGCGAGGTCCATGTAATTTAAGCTAAGAGGCAAGAGGCCCTTCTGGTGTAAAAGCGCATGAGATAGAGACGCCTGAGAGTTAGGAATGACACAGCAACACCCAGCTTCTACATTCGACATTCTGAAGAACAAAGCTGTTCAGTGTCAATAAAAATCAAAGCTCTGTTCTTCTATCAGTCCCTGCTAGAGCTGTTTGTCTGACAAGGTTTCCAAATAATCAATGAGTACCCAGACCTACGCATCTTTCCACAAGTTCTAGAATATGGTTCAGTAAAGTCTGATGCTGAAAAACTGAGCTGTTTACTTACAAAGGGTGGCCTGGCCCCCAATAGACGCCGATTCCTGCTCGTGCTCTCCTCCGCCCATTACTGGAGCAGCAGCCATCGGTGTAGACAACCACAGAGTCTCCTGTAAGGGAAACAGTAAACACAGCTGGATCGAATTTTGAAAAAAACAAAACTCACACCAAATGTCTCTGAAGTCAGGTCAGCATTTTAAGAAGATGTTCTACATGCCGCAGTCTCTGGGAAATACAAATTTCTTATGTGGGGCAGATGCTACATCACACCTGGTCTCACACACCAGGCCAGGGACAGGACAAGGTGGTCACAGTGCAGAGCTAGAACTTGCTTCCTGAGACCTACCACTCACAACCTACCCTAAAGGGTCAAAAGACAACGGCAATGTCCTTCTCTATGTCAGGGCCACCGTCACTCTCAGCAAGCCATCTCTCTAGAGAGAGCAGGGCCTTGGCATCATGGTGACCCTGCCTGCCAGAAGATCAAGTCCTCTAACAAACACTGGTCTCATTTTTCTTGTAGGACACTTGTAACAGTGAACTGTTGCTCCTGACCTTGCTTCTTTTCATCAAGGCAGAGGGTGGGATTAACATGCCAAAGCTGTGAACAAGGAAGAACAAGGACGGACATAAGGCCAGGCCACTCTCAGGCCTCTGGTGGCCAGCAACACACTCTCAGCAGAACAGTGGGAGAAGCTGGGTTGCACAGCACTGAGGGACAGGAAGGGGGAGCAGAGAGGCACACACAGGAGGCCCTTGTCCAGGACAGTGGGTGGAGCAGGCACAGCAGAGGCACAGTGGGAGGAGGCTACAGAAGCACAGGGACTCGGCTCCTGGAACGGTGCTGGGCCATCAGAACACAGGCTGGGTGAAAGGCTTTAGTCCAGCTGCATCTCAGCTCTGCCAACACAGCCACCGCTGCCTGCAGTCACTGAAGAAACCTACCACACACCAGGCTGTGTAGGGGCCACTGAGCTTCAAGCAGTGGTGAGCATGCCGGGAACAGCTCATACCCCGGGTATGCCACAAACACATGTTTCAATTCCAAGCAGCAAATAACCAAATCAAGTACACCTTTTGACTATTTTAAATAACTATAACTAACCTACAAATACAGATCAACAAAACATTTCTATTTGTTTCCCTTGAATCAAACTATAAAATGGCTTCTTCCTGGGAAAGTTAGAACCTACAAATTCGATGAGTTATAAAAAATGCTGGGAGCTGGGTTCGGTGGCACACACCTGTAATTCCAGTGGCCCAGGAGGCTGAGACAGGAGATTCAAGAGTTCAAAGCCAGTCTCAGCAACTGTGAGGCACTAAGCAACTCAGTGAGACCCTGGCAGAGATGTGGCTCAGTGGTTGAGTGCCCCTGAGTTTAATCCCCAGGACAAAAAAAAAAAA